CTGGTTTGCATTTTTTGGTAACGGTACTATTGCACGTACTGGTGAAACTCTAAATAAACAACTGATCTTAGTTAGAAACAAAGCCACACAGATTATATCACTCCATTCTACCATCAACTCTACACTCTCTTTGCATATATTCAACCATAAAATACACACCTTGGCATGCTTTGATGTCTTAGCAATAAATATAATTCCAAAGACCCCCAAATAACATTTCCTCAAAATTCAACTTAGGTTCGCCCCTGTCTTCTTGTAGAGGACATTGGTACCTAGGCTGTATCTATCTTTTTTTAACGTTCGACACACATTCTTCTCACATTTCCGATGTCCAGTCTTTCTCCGTAGAGAAACTGCATTCTCGCGATCTCTTTAGTAAGTAGTCGGAGATGGTTGCGGCTTTCCCGTAGTATTGATCATAGACGGCGATTCTTTCATTGGTCTCGCTACGCTCAAATGCAGAGCGATCAACGCGTTTATTTCGTTATCCTTGACAGCTCATCGATGGTTGTTTGGGCTGTCAAAGCGCATTGACGAGTTAGTTTAAGGAGTACTAAGACCTGTTTACCTCCGTCGTTTTGTGTATCCATGGAAACCGTAAAATACATTTCGTACAAATGTGAAAGCTTCGAAATCATATTTGAGACACATTACAAATGATTATAGTACAGTTTAATCGACTAAGAAGTAGATTTCCCCTTTACTTTAGTACTGCAAGTAGACTTCTCGTGCAATTGTAAAATCTACAGGCTGTTTCGGTTCGTTTCACTTCCGATTATTTAAATAATTCGTTGATGTCAAACATGTTTTCTTCTTATTTGATATACATAGTTGTATAGGGCCTGATTTACACTATTTGGGTGTAGAGTAATACCAGAAAGCGAGTAGTTTTTATAATTTTGTGTTGTTGTAATTAATTCAAAGTTAGGAATATAGTCTACAAGTAAACAAAAAAATGTACCGGGCATAAACGAATCTTGAAATTTATTAGATAGTTAGAACGATCAACTAAATATTTTAGTAAAGAATCAGCTGTTCAACTTGTAGAGAACGATCAGCTGTCTAAGTACTTTAGCAAAGAATCAGCTGTTCAACTTGAAGAGAACGATCAGCTGAATAAGTATTTTAGTAAAGAATCAGCTGTTCAACTTGAAGAGAACGATCAGCTGAATAAGTATTTTAGTAAAGAATCAGCTGTTCAACTTGTAGAGAACGATCAGTTAACAAGTATTTTAGTGAAGAATCAGCTGCTCAACTTGTAGAGGACGATCAGCTGACTGAACAAGAACAACACGTGACACGATCAGCTGACCGCCGGACTGCAGGGTTGTGACCCTCGCTTTCCAGATGAAAGTGGTCCTGACCCTAGCCTCGCCTGACAAGTTCACGGGTTGGCGAGTAATCGAAATCGAAGAAAGTGGTTGTCTATAGACGGACTGCGAACACCTCATTCTCACGTAACCTCTGTTGTGTTGTGAATTTTATGGTCTATGAAAACATTCAGTACGAAAGTGGTATACAAACTGATAAAACTTGTAAAAGTCTATTGTTTCTTCGTTGTTGGTGATGTTAGGTTTAGGTTGTTCAAAGAATTATTGTGGAAATTTTCCATCACTAAAACAAATTTCTAAATACGTTCCAGTATCTCGAACCTTATTCTACATTTAGGTAGAAAAAAACCTAAAACACAACATACTATCATTAGTAACCAAACAGTTCAGGAACACAAAGGCTGAACACATTTATAATAGAGCATGAAAATGAGAAAAAGTTAATCCGGAAGATAATAAGAAAATACAAAAGGTCCAATCAATACTATCTACTCAAACCGATCTCAATCGTAAGCAAAATTAAATACATTTTAACATGAATTTCATCCACCCCCCCCCCCCCTGTGAGTGATATCCAATGAAGCCCTCAGGTCTCGGCCAAGGACGAACATAGTACAATGTCCATACTATCAAGAAACCTATTTTGAGGGGTTTTACTCATCTGGAACGACTTCTTGGCAAACACAGAATATGATGTAGCGATTCCACTGGCTGGAATCTCACTCACATGAGAAACGTCATAGCGTGAAACTCACACTCACACATGCAACAGACCACTTCCTCCATTAGTCGCAGAAGGACCAGCACCGAACCCGTCCCATTCAAGGCCAATCACTCTCACTCTCTGTTCGCCTTGTAGCACTTTTACTACTTGTGTCATGACACTCCCTCACATGTATTGGCACTTTATTACTCTACTTGCGTGTGACTGTGATAATACCACATATTATGTGTAAGACCAAGCCTTCAGTTGGTAGGTTCACTTGTGCTCAACAGTGTATGCTTTGTAGAGTTGCTTATTAGTAATAATTGAGACAATTCCACACACAACTGAGCACTTTTTTCTACATTCGTGCAATATATGAGAACAATATACCACCCTCAAGATATATTGTGGGTAGTCATGTTAGCCTGAGTGCATGATGGAACCCGCCTCCTCGCCGTTCGTAATCGTATACCCGGGGACTGGACAATGAAAGGCCTGGGCCAGTCCCAGGTAAAAACATAGGATCAGGAGACAGGTTCCACCATACATACTATAGTTGTATGATAAACTGTCAACGGCGTTGATTTAATTCCTCCACACAGACATTCCCTCATAAGTGGATGTATGCTTTAAGTTGACCACATATTTTTATATGCTTTTTGATAGTCTTATCCGTGATTTGTAAATGCTTACTGTTTTTTCTGGCGTATAAAGCATTTTCACAATGAAATTGATTTTATCGTGAAGTAATATAATTGAAATTTATTAGTATATAATATAATAACGAAAAAAGATTTCTTTGACTGGTAGATGACACGAAGTGGGATCTACCGAAAGTAGTAGTTTCTTTTCACCGTCCAGCAAACATTTGTATCTTCTGGAAGTTTTGCTACGGATGCAAACAACATCGATCTCTCAATTTGAAGCCTACTTTTGTCAAACAAGAGACACAAGCCAAACGCAAATCTGACCATTACAATGACTGAACGAATTGTCGACGTTTTATTTTATATTCTACACACTAGCCTAGAAGCTGGTTTATTCCCGGTTGCCCTTGGACAATCTAGGTCGGGTTGGTGGTGTTCTGGTTGCGGTTGTGACGCTACCCGTGGGAACCATACAACCAGACTGTTTGATCCTACCACAGACCTAGGCTGTCTGACGACTAAACAATTACTTTAGGTCTCTCTTTGTTTCAATAAAGTTAGAATCTAAAATATTTTCTAATGGAACTGTCAAAAAAACTTCCAAACCCGATAAAGGTTATTAGTATAAGGTTCGGGCCTGTGACGTCATTTGTTTATATGTATGATCCATACCGTTTCTGTTCCTATATCTGTGGGCTAGACAACTGTATTTTTCGTTTCTAAGTCCCAGATACACCTTATTCTTTGCTCTGTATGGTTGATTTTACGTTCGCAGACACAAGAAATCCGATCTCACTTCAAGCGACTGTCACTTTTGGCGCGAATAACATTCCCTCGTCAATGGACTGGATTGTGTAGACCTACAGTATCTCCAATTACACTTTGATCAGCCAGTTTCCCTCCTAATACAGAGACAAAACGTTAATCACTAATCGCTTGTAATTACCGTCTGAGCTTTCTATCGCCGGTCTACAGTGAAAGGACGCCCAAGCAGTGGGTGGAACTAGGGGTGGTGATTGTTAATTGTACCATCTTGTGTACCATTATCCTCCAGATCTGTCCCCGTATAATAAGCGCTTGTGTTTTTGTCCCAATTACTACCTTGGCCCTCTATGTTAAAATAGCCCCTATGATATTATGAGTTTAATTCCAGTGGAACATAAAATGGTGTTGCGTCATTTGTTGTAGGATTTTTGTAAGTTGTAGAAAGTAGAAGAGTGGTTGTGGCTCACGCGAAGGGTTTCTGCTATGCTTAGACCAAAAGATCTTATCACAGACCTTTTAGCACAAGCTATGCAACTTAAGTATCTTTGGTTCCACAGGCCTACGTCTGTATATTATTAACACATCATAAAATATTTGAATCTAGAATACTTGTTGGTAGCCTACTTTTGAAAATTTTGTTGAGTAGAAATCAGATATCAAACTGTAAGGATCTACTAATGTTATATTATGGTTTTTTATGTTCGCAACTTTACTTTATAAAGTTATGGATACTAAAAATGTCAAGTAAGAACTGCCAAACAACTTATTGGAATATAGCAATTAAGCATGTGGTATTTTTACAAGTAGATTACCGTTTTAACGTTAGAAGTCGTGCATTTCAACATACCGTACACACATAAAAGAACATTTTGCCATACTGCGGTGTTGATTTCCATATGAATGGATACCACAAAAATGCAGATGCATGAAAGCGTAACGGAGAATGTTACGTAGGTATTGTGCAACTATTCACCGCTAGTGTTAGGTATGATGTTTTATTAGAGTGTTTATCACATACATATATTTATAGTATGTTTTGACACTTTTATGTTCTTTCATCACATATTAGTACGCTCAGCTCCAGTCCCGAAGCGTTTTACACATGACTTCAGGCTAGGCCTAGAGGGTCACGGTATTATCGCAACATAGCTAAACCAATTAGTGATTGACGGGATTTGAACGCAAGACCTCATGGACCGAAGCTTAGAGCACTCTCCCACTAGACCAGATCGCTCCCCAGCCTATTTTTTGGACCCCCATGTTATATTAAGCTAAAACAGATTTGTTGCTTGTTTCAACACAAGTGCTATTTCTAAAATTGAGAACAATAAAATTAAATGTGTTTCAAGGGCAGACAATCCTTTTATTTTATTTACCTTTTATTTTTTTGAACCTCGAACCTGCCCCTCTTCCATAGATGTCCGAAACACTAACCACTCCTTCACACCCAGAAGATATTCCAACTAATTTCGTTCTCAGTTAATAAGCTATATATTAACAGATTTATTTAACATTTAACAATCCACAACAATGATTCACTATTTTTTTCAGATGGAGCCAAAAACAGCAGTCTACAGAGAAGTCTCAGTGACCGCACCTCACCTGGCGCTGAGCCTGGCTGCAAGTTCAATGATACGATGCGGTTGCGGCTGCGGACAGGAAGACGAGATACAAGAGACACATTCACAGACGGGAGGAAATCGGAAAAACGAGTGCTAAGTCCTGGGAGACCGAGACCAAAGGAACCGCCCCCGCCGCCTCCGCCACCTGCTGAGACTGAGGATACCTCCAGTGTACCACCCCCTCCACCCCCACCTCCTAGACAGATCTTCCCCTTCACTAAAGAGGAGATAGAGAAGATCAACCAGAAGAGACCCAAGAGTGAAATAAGACCGAGGAGTTCATCAAACTCTCCAGTCAGACAGTCGGAAACTTCGCCTTCTGGAGTCCTTCCTAGACGAACGTCCTTGACATTCCCCATCACTTTAGTAGGAGCCAGAGAAGGAGAAGAAGGACCATTGTGGCACAGAGATTCTAGCGTCGTTGACAACAGCGTGGACACTATCTTGTTGCCTCTGGAAGAAGATGTTCCTACGATGGAGACTCTGTCCAGTGTGACGGAGGTTTATGAAGCTCTAGAACTGAATTCCAAGCTGAGAGAAGACTCAGAGAGAATCATGTTCAAAGGTGAATCTGTCAAACTACATGTTCCTCCAGCAGAACCCGCTACTGTTGAAAAAGACGAGAGTCAGAATTGTACAATAGTGACGGTTTCCTCTACGACCCAAAAACTATCAGTTACCAGTGCTAAATCTCTTCCGAACAGAAGAACTTCTATCATGATCACAGGAAATCAAAATGATCAGAATAACCTGAATGTTAGTAAAACCTCAGTGAGAATTGGAGATTCCCCGTCGATTAATCCTGGAAGTAACAAAGTTACGATTAACGTAGGTGGTTTTGATTACCAGAATTCTAAAAATAAGACTGCAAAAAGCAATACCCAAATTGAAATTAAAAACGACTTCAAGAGTAATATAACTATCGGTCCTAGTGAAAATAAAAGCAGGACTCTGTTGATTTTGGATTCCTCATCAAACAATGCTATAACCAAAGAAACCGTTACTAAGTCAAAAGAAGACAACGTTAAAGATATTGTTATCGATATTGTAGCACAAGAAGAAATTAACAATCTCATTAGGAATAAAATAGATCCTGTAGAAGCCGCAAGAAAAAACATAGTTCCTCATTTCTGTGGGAAGGCACAAGAAGATGTTAGGGAGAAGGATAACTCTGAAAATAAGGCAGAAGAAGTCTTGGAAAAGGACAACGAATGTTGTAACACTCTGAATACACAATCTTCAATAGAATCAGAGACATTGGATGATGATGTCTTTGCACCGAAAGATGACAACTCTGACGACAACTCCGACTGTTATGTCTGTGCCAAAAAGTTGAAAGCTAAACAGAAGCAAGAGGATGAAGAAATCAGGGTTGGATTGGAATTTGACTCGGATGAAAACCATTACGAGATCATTAGGGATCCAATTTATGAAGAAATTTCAGACACTCCGCCTCCTTTACCTCTATCTCCACCACCTGCTTCTGTGGACATTGATGACTCAATTCCAACAAGGTCTATCTTTGAGGGAGCCAGTAAATATGACATTTTAAATTATTTGGAAACAGCGAAAGAGAGAGGAATAGTGATAGAGTCCGAAGACGATTCTGAAGTGAGAAGCCCCGAACATTCCCGCATCAGTTCACTAGACTTGAGTAGTCGGATTAGCCAACTTAGCAATGCTAGCGACTCTAGCGAAGACTCTTGCAACCTGATAATTTCCCCACCAGATACCGCTTCTATCACTTCTGATAAGGTAATTGGTCCGTTTAATGTTTATGTAATCACTCATCTAATCAGCTGTTGTAAGTTAACAATTTTCTTTAATTTTCTTACAGTTTTCAGTTATTTCTCTAACAATATTGTAATTGTAAAGCTTTGAGCTGTAACTTCTTGTCATAGAAAATGTTTGTTATTTTCATTCAAACCTATGTTCAAATGTCTCCAAAGTTTTAGAACCCTTCCTTTGGCAAAGTTTTAGTACTGCACTATTAATATAATATTCGATTTTCCAACCCAAATTTGTTAACCCTAACCATCGCTATTTTTTATTCTAACCATGCAATGAAGCAGTTCAAATATGAATAACTTAGTCAACTTGTTTACAGTAACCAACTTAGCTGCAATAAAAATGGAAAATAGCTGCATCTACCTTATGGGAAAACTTTACCATCAGTTCTCCTGCATGGATGCTTACATAACGTTTCAAAGTAATTGCCTTGGAGTTCAAAGAAATATTCCTTGCAGCTTACATTTTACAGTATAATTTAGCGATCAGTATCTGTATCAACACTGATAGTTAAGCCACAATTGAATTGCAGGTGCGCAAGAGCAGTGTCGAGATAGAGAGGAATGACTCAGGAGTCGGCTCGGAGACCAGCAAGTGTTCCCGCAGTAGATGGCAGCACGTGCCTGCGACTCATCACCACGGGTGTGAGGACTGCGACCAACCAGTGGAGACACAGGTCACGGACAGGTCAGTAATGGAAACATTGACTGTGGTCAGTAGCGGAAACGTTGACAGTAGTCAGTAGCGGAAACATTGACTATAGTCAGTAGCGGAAACATTGACTGTAGTCAGTAGCGGAAACATTGACTGTAGTCAGTAGCGGAAACATTGACTGTGGTCAGTAGCGGAAACATTAACTGTAGTCCGTAGTGGAAACATTGACTGATTGACTGTAGTCAGTAGTGGAAACATTGACTGTGTTCAGTAGCGGAAACATTGATTGACTGTTGTCAGAAGCGGAAACATTGACTGTAGTCAGTAGCGGAAACATTGCCTGTAGTCCGTAGCGGAAACATTGACCGTGATCATTAGCGGAAACATTAACTGTAGTCCGTAGTGGAAATATTGACTGTAGTCAGTAGTGGAAACATTGACCGTGTTCAGTAGCGGAAACATTGATTGACTGTTTTCAGAAGCGGAAACATTGACTGATCACTGGAAGCATTAGATTTTATTTAGTAGTGGGAAACATCAAAATAAAATTCCGTGCTATTGCAGGAACTCTTACTTAAATCAAAGTAAAAATATTTTTCCTGTTAATTTCCAGAGGATTCAAATTTGTTTATAGCAATCAAAACCATGTCTTGGTGTCCTTGCACAACTTGGCAGTATAAGTGATTATGTTCAAAACAGTATATGCATTTTGGTTTTCTTCAAGTACAAAGAAATGTATTAAATATAAAAAACATTTTTTTTTTAAGTAATTGTTAAGAGGAAACAATGTTTTGTACTAAAATTAAACTGTAGCCTACATATATATGAATATGATAGTCACAATTTTCTTTTGAATAATATGGTATACAAGTATAGATTACCTAACCATACAACAAACATTTTGATTTAGTGATCTGTTCCTTTCATTTTATACATTAATTATTGGGTGGTTATTTGATACAAGTGATTTAGGATTTCCTGGCTATGCAAATGCATAGAAAGTAAAACCAGGTTTTTTTTAGAGCTTGGTTGCTCTGGGTTGGACGGTTGGTTTCCCAAGTGAGACCAGGGACTTCTTCTCACTTTCCAGCAATGGAAGTTACACACAGGAAGTTTATTTGCATATGTTCTGCAATCCTTTCAGTAATATTGCCTAATTTACCAGGTTTTCATTTGTTTAGCCTGTAAAAATGTACCATTTGACAAGTCCTTGGCTTGGGATAAAAAGTTGTTCTTTACTATAATTTTCCTGGACAAACACAAACTATGCAATAAAAACCGTTTATTTTTCCTTACTATATATTTCTTCTTATGATACTGTTCATGACAATGTTATGGGAAATAGCCAATTCTATGTATACATCAAATTAGGGCTGTGATTTTAAGGTTTGCAGAACTTGAAAGTGCATGGTCACATCTTTTTCACATAACATTCGTTGCTGATCGCGCAGTGCTTTACTAAGGTATCTTACAGTGCTTAGTGACAGATATGCCAATATGGCATGCATAAAATATTTCATTGACGTTCCCTAATTTAAGGACTAAGCAACAAGAGTCTAACACAAGCTTGTTGAATTGAGCATCAGCAATGTCCTAATTTTGGAAATATCAATTCAACAGTTAAGTAACATATATAGCAGAGTCAAAGTTTGATATGATTAAACAGTTAGTGTTAAATTCCTTACATAAGCCAAAAGCTATATTTTACTGATGTCTTTATGTCACAACTGTTTATGTAAAATAGGGTGATTAACATTTAAAAATATGAATATTTGCAAAGATTACATTGTATAGTTTTATTACTTTGATTGTAAATATATCAGCTGTTTTTGTTCCAGTGGTCTTATGTTTGCCCCCTTGGTGTGTCGGAAGTGCGCCAAACGGCGAGCAGAGCGACGAGAAATAATCACCGAGATCGTTGAGACGGAGGAAAAGTACGGACGAGATCTGAGGATAATCCTGGACGAGTTTTACAGACCAATGTTGGTCGCTGGACTCCTCACTCCTGACCAACTCTCGGCTATATTCCTCAACGTGGAAGAACTGTTGGAAAATAACGCTTCACTGGCGGAGAAACTACGAGACGCGCTGGAGATCGCTCTAGACCAAGGAGATGAGGATTTCTTGACTGTCAACATCGGAAGTATTTTCCTAGACGCTGCTCCGATGCTTCACGCTTTCGAATCCTACTGCACAAGACAGGTTTAGAAATAGATTTTATATGTAAAATAAGATGAGATGTTAAATTTTGATGTCCGTTTTTAAAAATATTAATCTGGGACTATACTCTCAATACAAATTAGAGCAATTATTAGCAATACAACAATTAGCAATAGTGTTATTAACTAACTAAGTTAATAATTAATGCCAGTATTTTTCCATTTTTGTATATGTTTTACATTTCTTGGGCCAAAGAGAACTCTTCCCCTTTAAGGCAAGCCTGCTAACCCTTAAAACCTTGGCCTTTACGCTCCATTCAGTCATCGTAATACTACATTACAGGCATTAGTGCTCAATTACAATGCAGCAATAAAATTTAAGTTATCCCTAACATCCCTAATACAATTTTCTGGTTGTCAGGGAGCCGCTTCCCTGCTTCTGGCCAACCTGGAGAAGGAGAAGGAGCTGCTCCGGATCTTCCTGAGGGTTTCACAGATGGAGAACTCTGTCCTGCGAAGGATGAACCTCAACTCTTTCTTGATGGTGAGCTGTAGTAACTTCATCAAGAAATATAATGTTGTCATACATAAGACAGATTTGTAATAAATTCTCTTCATTAGGATATTTCCAGTGAGATACCCTCATCCAAGAGCTATCGTCATGTTTCCTTCTTAAAGCATCTTCTCTCCGAAATTCGTTTAACACTTGCATTAAGCACGACGATTTTGGTCGGAACCACTGGCCTTGCAGTGTGCAACAAGTGGCGTCTCTGAAATACATTGGGTCACAGTAAACTTAGCCGTTTACAAGGTTAGGTGTTGCTGTGGGCTTCACCAGTTTACACCTATACCTTTCCTGCTATGCCCTCTTTTTTTTTATTTTGTTATGCTCTCTTTGCTGTTTCCTCGATAGGAGTTTAGTGTTCAAGATGAACCCTATAGAAGCTTTAATTTTTTTTTGTTCTAGGACACTACACTCTAGCCCAGGATTGTTTCAACAATAATTCAGGCTAGGGTTTGTGGTATAATATTTGAGATAGAATCTAATGGTGATTGGTGGGATTTTAACCTGTGACCTCAGGGATCATAGTCCCACTCTCTACAACTAGAGCAGCTTCCTCCAAGTCCATAGGAGCCTAGCCATTAGAGATTTTACACACTTTTTTCAGCATTGAAAGTGTTAATTAAGAAGTTTATTTGGAAGTAGGATAAAATGTCTACATTTGTTGTACCTGGGTTTCTCTGCAGTTATTTATGAGTTAACTTATGAGTTAAAATGTTTATTTTTCCCAGGTGCCTGTGCAGCGCGTAACCAAATACCCGCTACTGTTGGCGCGCCTGTACCGTGTAACACCGACGCATCTCAAGTCGAGAGAAGCCCTTCGGCTTGCACAGAACAAGATTGAACTGCACTTGGAGCATATCAACTCGGTCAGTAGTGGTGTGAATACAAACTTTAGACTTAACAAACACTATGCCTACTGTACTGCCTTGATGACAAATATCTTGGTCCATCTTCAGAGAAGTAGGATACAGAGGATACATTCAATGGTTAACTTCAAGTGGTGTCAAGCACCATTCGCTGGTGTCAAGAGCAAATTTTAGTCGTCAGGAGTTAATTTCCCTTCGCCAACACGTTCTACAGCGCTTACGCTGTAGGAAGACCCTTTGCACTATGACTGCTGTACAAAATGCTATGTTGCCATCACCGTTTGTGCTCAAGTATACATTTCCGCCTTAACATACCAGATATAAAAACGTATGGTAATCCCATAAACTTGTATACTCTGTATCTTACTTCTTAGAAACACTATAATGAAGTTGTAGCCTGTTTGGAATAAAGACAGAATTTTGACTAAGCCACCAACCAAGTGTTGCTGTAAAAACTATAGCATCCTTACAAGTTACAACCCATTCATCATTGTATTCCAGAAACTTTTAGAGAAAATAAAATATCTATAAAAGCATTCTCTATGAGAGGTCCATAACTATGTTCTCTTTGTTTGGCTACCACCAGTCGATATACACAAAATCTCTGTTTAAATATCCAAAGTCAACTTTTTTACTCAAGAATGTAGCCGCTCTTTTGGCAACATCAGTCATTTTATCACAACTAAGAATAAAAAATTGTTCAGTTTTTATAAAAATTAGTATGTTATGTATGCTTAACTCAAGATATACTAAGACATACTACGACATGCTAAGTTACGACATGCTATGTTGACATACTAAGAATGCAAATTGATAGAAGAAAGACAGTGTGATGATGCATTTTCACGGATAATATGCAGAGTTAATTGCTGTTAATGCTATAATAATGTATTTCACTGTTTAAGTTTTTGTTTAAAGTCTGTAGGAAGAGCTAACAAAATTCAGTATATTTGTATTTACAGCTAGCTAAGGACATCAGCACAACCAGACTATGGAGGAGGATATCAATAATAAACGGAAGACGATCGAGCAGTGAAACTGACATGGTGAACATCAAGCTGAGAAAGGTATTTGTTTTTCAGTATTGGGAAGTACTGCTAGCAAAGAATAATTAGTTTACTTAGCTTTACTCATTTTGCACTTTGAAGTGTGGTTTTGAAACACATACTTTCATTTTTGCTGTCTGAACAGTGTCCATGCAAGACAGTCCACTAAAAGAATGGAATTTTTTTAAGGAGGTTGGTGGCCTCTTCTAACCTTTGCATTCGCCTGTCCACATAGAATATGGGCCCGTGCTTGGAACGTATCCAGCAAAGCAAGGGGTGAGCCAATAACAAGGGTGAACTGTACTGATAAAATGTTTGCGCCAGTGACCAGGAATAGAACCGACGACATCGCTGCTTTGGGGCCGAAGTCTGTGATGCGTGACGCTACTAACTGAGCCACCGACTCACCTAAGTAAAACATAAAATGATGAAAACTATAAGTTTCAAACTCGTGATTATAACATCAGTAGGAAATTTTGTTAAGAAAGATGATCAAAACTGTGTCTTCGGGAGATGGTTGTGTCCAATGCGTAAAAATACTTATTTTTAACTTATTTTAAACTGATTTTTAACTGTTATTCCAACACATTTGCAATCCCGATGATATGTTGCTTTTTTGCACAATTTTTTTAGTGTAATTTGTGAAGATGATAGATGGACCTTATAGCTTTCTGTAATCATAACATATTGATCACTGCCAGGTTGCCGTGGACGTGTTGGAATGGAACCACGACGAGGTTAGGTTTGCGATGGAAGGAAAGCTTCTCTTCACTCAACCGACCGACAACAATTGGAGAAGAGGAAGAACAATCAAGCTGAGCCCAATAAACGCCATGTTGGTCACTTTAGGCAAGGTAAGATTATCAGTCCAACATACTGTACAAATTTTAAGGTTGCCAATGTATCATAGGGTATAAAAGGCTGATAAATCAGCTGTAAAAAGTAACATTGAAACTTTCACTTACATCAATACATAAATCAACAAAAGTGCTACTAAAATCTGACCCTGACATACGCTGCCATCTGGTGAACAAGCTTAGATCCATAACGCTTAGGTTTTGGGTTTGCCAATATTCTAGTGTGGTCGTTAAGGCTGACCAATGGTCAGGCGGCATTTTCTCTCCGGCCAGAAGAGTTCAACGTAGATTGAGGATTTGAATATCGTCTCGGTCAGGACTAAATGTAGCAGTTCAATAGTAGTCACATTTATGTGTCCAGAGTCGTCCATAGAAGAGTTCCAAAAATGGTGGAAGAGGGCAATAGCCAAAATACACAGTAGGTTTGACTAAGCTGGAAGTAAACAGGGTTTTTACACTTCAAATCAGGCATTTTACTTTTACTTATTGTCTAACAGTGTATTTGTCAACCGAAAGCTTTAAAAAAAATATATACATTTTGTTTTTTCCAGCCGACTGAAGACTACCAACCTGATTCTGATGAATTATTGGCCTTCCCCAGAAAGAATGGTATTAGGGACGCGACGCTTCTGTTGCTGAAAGAAAAAAGTGGTCGATATGGGTTGCTGAGGGTAAGCTCTTAAATGATTTAGTTTTGATACAAAATTGAGCCCCCTAGGTATGTTGTAATACAAGAAAGACTAGACTGAAATGTGCAAAAAGTTCACAAATAATATTGTACATGTAGGAAAAAATCAGAAATGTCAACAAAACAGTTCTTGAGAGCAAAATTTAAATTATTGAGTTACTAGCGGTTGGCCCGTTCTACGTACGGGAATCTAGTAGTAAGTTAAAACCTTATATTCAGAACAGGAGTTGGTTTGCATATTTAGTGTGCATTTTTCCAGATATGATGGCAAAACTATAATTGTTTAGGAATACATATAAACCTTCTCAAATACAATATCTGACAGTTTCAAAGCCAAAACGAATGCTTCGCAATTAAATGTCACCCGATCGTGTTAGTTCATATTTTATATCTAACGATGAAAGGAATTGCTTTACAGTATAGATCTATGAGGCATAGCCCTAAGGTAGGCCTGTAATTGAAAGTTACTTTTCACACTGGTTAAAAGTAGTTAAAACACTACCTCAACCTCACTACTGCACACTTATTCGGGTTGAAATTTTTATTAACAATGGTGCTCTTGTCTTTTCCACGAAAAATAAGGACATTAATGCGTTACCAATAGACATACACACACAAATACAGAATTGAGTCCACACAACATTTTGGAGTCCAGACAGAAAACGCTAAAAATTATACAGTAAGAAATCAAATAAATAAGCATAAAAGCAGCAGCATTAAATTAAATAAGCAATAAGGTGCAGTGTTTATAAATAAATAGTGATGTGTTTGCAAGTTATGTAAAAATGATTCTTACTGCTACCACCGGTTCCAAAAAAGGAAAGGAAAAGTAGCATTACCAAAAACCAACGTTTACATTTGAGAAAAGAACTGTAAGTAGTACTTGCGACTAATTCAACCTGTCCTTCTAATAAAACTGTATTATAGGTGTTAATCTGTTGGCAAATATATAAATAAATAAATACACAGGCCACAAAACATGTAACATGTAACGTTACCAACGTAAAGCTTTGCTAAAAAAACTTTCACTTGATGTGGTGCAGTACCAAAGTTATTAATCTCCTTTGGTTTTTAATTTTTTTTTAAGTTTTCGAAAATCAAAGTTGTTTCCCATTAATAACATTATTTGTAAGCAGCTTTTATTGTTAACACATCAATGACAGTTTGAAGAAACCACCTTTATCCAAACAAAGGTTTCTTATTTAAAGATTACGTAATATCTAAACAATAATCGGTAGGCTACATATATCTAGCAAACATTCGGAGGAAATGTGACAAAAAACGCACTAATCTGGGGTTTTGTACGTTTGTAGTTTTATTTCCTAAGTAGCAAAAGTACCGATATCGTTGTCGAAATGTAAGTAAGTAGAAACCAAAAGTGACACATTGGAAAAGCGAGTTTAGCTACATCTGTTAAGTTAAACCTCTGTTACGGTACGATCACAGCGAAATTAGAAAGATCTTCCAAGATCGCAGCAACATCCACGATCACCCAATGCAGTTGTGATTTTTTACTTTGCACTTAACACAACTGTCCTTGAAGCGCCGTCAATGTGTGGAAACCTTTGTAAGCTACGGTATTGGTGACGATGATTAAAAAAATGTAAGTTTCCTTGCAATAATACAACACTGATTCACGGTATTTTCCCCAGTTATCAAAACTCAAGAACAATCGTTGCACTTGCGATTAATTAAAGCGGTTAAGTAAGGCACAACGTTTTTAATCTCACTTGGTTTGGATGTGCTGACAAAACTTGATCGGAAATGGTTGCGGTATTTGTAAACAACTTTGAATGTAAGCATATCAGTGACAGCTAGAAGTGAGAACTAATCCAAACAGCTGATTGATATTTCATAAAATGTAATAGTAAACATTGGGAGAAAATTTGACAAAATCTAACAAAATTGGGTTTTTGGTGGTTTGTTATTTTGTTTTCAAAGAAGCGAGGCCATGTTTTTATAGCCAAAGACACTCTCACCAATCCATTAAATACAGAAAAATTATTAGAACCGTGATCGGTACTCTAGTTTTCTAGGAGTAGGCCGCGTAAAATGACATTTTGGCGTTACAGACCGAGTCACAGAATGGACAGACAGACATACAGACAGAAATTGAGATAAGACTCGTTTCGGCTTTCTTAGGCTATGAAACGTAAAAATAACCAAAAACTGCATGATTCTAAGCAATGTACAGACAAAACTCTAATTTTATTTATATAGATATGTGTTCAAAATTAATTAATTAGTACACAATAATCTAAGTTTAATAGTCAGTTTAATAGTTTAATAGTCTAAATTAATAGCCAGGAACTAATCTAAGTTATGTTAAGTCGTCAAAAGAAAATATTTGGGTTTCTAGTTTCTATTGTATGTCTTGATCTGGAACTTGATTTCAAACCTTTTTTATATGAGAACAAAACCTGTAGCTGAGGTGCTATTGAGCTGAGGTTGCTATAATCATAAAACATAAGCCATTGTGAAAACCTGATTCAGTTCACTACCAATATTAAAACTGCAAGATAGAAAGCCATATTTTAGTTCTGGGACCAAATCTAAATAAAATATTTAAGTTTTAAGAAGCCCATTTAGTAATTATTTCATTTGCTGGGTTATTATTGGTGTTGTTGTGTTAAACTTGTCATCTGTTTGTGACAGGAACCTCTGTTCTTGGACCGATGCATCATCTGTTGCGAGGCTGATGTTGAAGATTACTTTGAAGTTCAAGAACTCGCTACTAAAGACACATATTTGTTTAAGGTATTACATTCCATATTACAAGCTGAGTTATGTGACAACAACACAAACAGTGTATTAGCTCTGTGGTAGTATCACTGACTTACACCTGTGATACCGTAACATGTTACTTTACTGTCTTAAGATCATAGTACAGACCAGTGGTCTATGATGAGCTGTCGAGGTTTTACAAAATTGTGATAAATCTTGAGAGCATCCACTGCTTAAATACAAAGCTAAACAGTATCCTTTTCCTGGCATATTATATTAATTAACAAGAATGTTGCAAATGTTTTTGCATTTTCTATCCAACTGTTATAAGTTAGGTATTTATTTTAACCTATCACAATCCATCATCAAACACTTGAAAATTAGTCCAAATTAAACTTGTTGATAGATATAATTAAGATTACAGAAAAGGTAAAATTATGGTGTTCAATTTGTTGGTGTAGTTGAGCTATGAAGTGGAACAAAGCAAATTAGGATTACATTTTGAATTGATGTGTTTAGTGTCGTACTGAAAACCCGTTCAACTGAGAAATGCTTGCTAATGAAATAGTTTTTATTATTTTTTACGCTGATCCTTGGGCTATCGCTTTTTTCTAGTTGAAATTTGAAATAAGGTTGGGAAGCTTTTTTTAATTATACAAGTGACATTCTATTTTGATTAAGTAAACTATTAAGCTTCAAAATTTGTTTGTTATCCCTAACTAGTGTAAGTCTTATCTTATATCTTATTATTCACAAACTTGGACTTCAACTGTAACAACTTTGGCTAAATATATGATATTCCCAGGCTGAAGACGGAGACCAGACCAAGAGATGGTTCAGACAGCTACAGTATCACGCGCAAGGGCTCGGCGCGTGGCGCAAACGACGCAACGCTCTCGCTAACATCATGATCAACGGCATGCAGCTGCGCACCTAGCGATGGCTGCCCCTACTGACGATACGCTACGCCTCCGTCACCATCACGATGGAGACCCGCGTACCGCCGAGCTGACAGTGCACAAATCAGTACAAAAAAATCTAACTTTGAAAGTGTAACATAATGTAATTTTGTACGACTCGGACATCCAATAGCTTTTTACATCTAACTTATATTCAGTGTAATATTTGTATTATTTGTCGATACTTGTAAAGTGTTCATTGTGATATTTATGTAAACTTTGTATTATGTATCCCTGTAAAATTATTTGTAAATATTGAAAAAGTATTAACATGTTACTTTTAGCGCTTGACTACAGTATTTAGAATTGAATAAAAAATGTTAAAATATTGTTGTTTTTTTCTGTCTAAGAGTTAAATATTTTTAATCTAAGAAGCTCTGCTATGCTTTTAATTATTAAATAGTTCAATTAATGGAAACTTGCCTATGCGGTTCTAGCCAATAGCAGAACCATATAGTGTGGCTATACAGCGGAAGTGTGTTGTAGACATAGTTCTACAAGGGCTCAACAGATAGCAGCACAGAACTGTAGCATAGCAGAACTGTCGCTAACAGGTGACCAGTACTACTGAGTACTGCCAAATGCACAATATGTGCATGGTATCAAATCCTTCTTCCAAGCTAAGGACACACATATATTTTTTAAAATCTACCAAAAATCTTCTTTTTTTGCTATCCCAGAATCAAGGAATTTAATTATTTACATTTACCTTGTGTGGTTTCTTACCAGAGTTCTACAAAAAACTACTGCATACAAATGAAGCACGGTATTTTGTGAAGACATGTTAAAACGCGTGTCTAAGAGGTTTCTCATGTCCGCCATTGAGTTTTGATGTTCGGAATTGGACCATACACATCTGATGCATTTTTGAGTAGGTGACTTCTAGTTTTTATACATTTACTGTGTATTTAATTGTACCTACATGCAGCTTATAAGATATAAACTTTTAAAACACTCAAGGTTTTAAAAGTTTCACAAGTTTCTTTTCTGGTGAAATTCAATTAATGCTCACACAAGATGCTAGATCATCCTGAACTTTTGCCAAGAACTTGTAAAGTGAAGCAATTGAGATTTTAGCTTAATTGAACGTTATACATTGAACGTTACTCTAAATCTAATGTACATTTACAACTAACACCTTTTTTAGTCCAGCACGTTGAGAATGAATTTAATAGTAATTTATTTGAATCTGACTGCACAATAATTAACTTAAATTCAATCCATGGATAGGATAACTACCAGACCAAAACAGCTGATCTATTATTATCATTGTTATTAACTACTAACTAGGCAAAAATATTCATAAAGTTTTAAATACTGACAACAATTACAGTAGAACTTTACGCTCAATTCGTCTGTTGAAAACTCCAATTACCAGATGAAACAGAACCGCAAAGAAATACAAACCAAGAGTGTTTGGGGTTGGTTTGTTGTCAAGTTGTGAGTGTATCACAAAGGGTGTTATTGACTACCACACCTGCGCTACGATATTGTTGTTCGGCCACTGGCATTTGTTGATAAACACTGACCCGTCATACACAAACCATTACCGAGGTTTATTTTGGTCGGAGAGGTCGCTCTTATAAGTTACATGTTTCATATCAAGTTCTTCACAACTGAAGAACAGTTTTAGCAAAATTATGTTTTATAAAATGGTTAAAATACCGTATTTCATTTATATCTATACGTCCTTTAATAGCAATCAGATAATGAAATGAAATTTGATTTCATTTTTATTATTAACTTGAATAATAATCCGAGTCATAAAACTTGCTGAGTGAAAAAGTTTAGGAACTTTTACTAAAAAGATTCAGATTTTCTTTAAACAATCTTATGGGTTTTTGAATTGGTTTAGATTGAAATTACATTATTGTTTGTTTATCAGAGTTATATCAATTTTAGATTATGCCTATGTATTTTTGAGCTTACATTCTCAAAGTCCAATTTCTAGGGCTCTGACACATACATCATGAACTACAAAACAAATTAGAAAATTACGTAATAATTAAGTTTTGATTCACCAAAAACTAATTTTAGAACTTGGCATATGAAGGTGAATTTTTTCCTCATTCCCAAAATATATACAGCAGTTCAATCATATTAGTTCACAATTAAATGTTCTTACTTATACCAACAGATTCTTACACAGATATTACATTGAGTAGACTGTAATATTATGAAAATATTAAACAGTATTATCTTTACAATTAGGCTTGAGAAAACACGACCCCAAAAACTTATTTGAAGGTTTGAGGAATATGAGTGGCGATTACGTTAAAGGTTTGTACACGTCCAATTTATTCCATTGGGTTGTCTGGGCAAATCGTTAGGCTGGGCTAGCTGTTGAGTGTTATGTATACTGGTGAAAGAGACGGAGACAGAGAAGTGTGTATTGATAGTTCAGTCCAACCTCAACTGAGGCGAGGGTAAGAGCTCAACTTTTTTTGGAAATAAGGTTAGTATTTAGTTTCCTAATTTGCTATCAAATTATTTATTACTAATTATAACTAATAAATTAAGTTTTGTAATATTGGAGGGTGTTTAAAACTTTTTATATTTTTCCTTAAGCATTATATGATACATTTGACAAAATTATTTAACTTTATTGATACAGAACAACAATATGCATTTAATATTTGATATTGACTACAAATATTTTATAAATCCAACCAACTTTAAAAAAAAGAAATAATACCTGATGACAGCTTAAAATTAAAGATTCAATATGGTAAATTAAAAACAAAAAAATCTCATTATGTCAAAAAATGTCCATTGTTATTTCAAAATCTGTTAAAATCTAAGTGTATAGCAAACTATAATTAGAAAATGAATAAGAATTCTGCAAATTAACAAATATAGTATTAGCATAAGAGTTGAAGGTGGAAACCAAAAAACTTGTGAACTTTTGCATCGACTGAAAATCTCAAAAGCTTTAGAATGGATTATCTGTAATTTTTGTCATGCCTAATGATGTTAAGTCTTAACAGTCAATAATGAGGCCATTCTGATGTCTTCACTCTAACTGCATAATCAGATGCCAGGAGGCATACACGAGTATCTAGTCAACTCAGAGTACCTACACTACACTTACCGGAATATTTTTTTTTCAATTTTTAAAACAAAAAAAAACTTGTTTGTGAATATCTCATTGATAAACAATTATACAACTCATTGTGCACAGTACGCATAAAAATAAAATTTCACGACTCTGGTTTTTGTTTGTATAAAAACTACACGACATGTAGCGATTTCCAAATGTCTTAATTTATTTTTCTGCATGCGCCTCTACAACAGATGTTAATGATATACATTGTAGACTAGTTTTAGACTATTGTAGACAGGTTTATTTAATCAGGTGTTATTTAAACACTGTTGACTTCCCTTTTCAATCAAGATTTTTAGATTGTTTTGCAACTCGTAAATGTTTGAACTCACAGTAAAATGTGTTTGGAAAAATAAAATATATAATTTTGCAATACATTACAATATATTGTGACCAATTCATCTCTTTTTACATTATCATCTCCGGTTTTTAGTAGTGATAGTTAGACCATTAAGTTCTGTTGGTATTTTTTACAAGTTTTAACCATTACAACATTTATTTTTAAAAATAAAATTAAAGTAAAGAAATTTGTTAAATTTTTTTACATTGGCGCTTTACAATATATTTATTTTCAAACCATAATTTGCTTACATATTTTTATTTATTTTTTTTACTTATTCTAGCGGTCTTTGCTGTAATAATTTGATCAATTCAGCCAGTTTCCAATGCAATGCAGATTCTCGAGTAGAAGAACAAGACGGTGTGGTATTTGTTTTATTTTTAACCAATGATAAAGCGTCCATCAAAACTGAAGTTACTTGAGTGTTTTCGTACACCAGTTGTAAGCATAATGGTTATGGATGTTTATTTTGAAAAGCAGACTTCAATTTATAGCTGCTGTACCAAACTTTGTATAGCTAGAAATTAAAAATAACCCGTCACAGCAAACCTGCAGACTAAGTGAATTGCCATCTACCTTGCTAGAATTCCACTAAATTATTCCCTTAAAGTCGTCAGATTTATTTCCTATTTAATTATCATTTGATTTTAATGAGGTTTGCTGCAACAGGGAAGACAATAAGGTGTGTTCTTTTTTTAACATTGATAACTTAGTATGAAGTAAACAAAATTTCCATATTTCATTAATATGTCCATAAACAAGCAAGCTACAACAGTTTATTAATTCTTCATAAAAATAACAATTTTAAAATTTTTTGAAATATCTCCGTAACTGTCAGGCGTACAACACCGCTTCAATATACAAAATTATTTATTTCCCTAAGCTCTACCAAATGGTTTGGAAAGAAATTGTAAAATTTTGTGGTTTTAGGGTCAAAAATGGGAAAACCCATTTTCCTCCCCATAAACCCCTCTTCCCATAGTCCGATCATGCTGGTTCACGAACTCGTTCAAAGAGATGTAGGTTTACACGTTTGTAAAAAATTCCATAAAAATTGGATTATTTATACATATATATGAATTTGAACGGATGGTGTTTTTGGCCTCTGAGGACATTAAAACGAAAAAGTAAATCGGTTCCGGGTCCAAGTCCTACTATGAGACCTACATTCACTAAAAGTTATTTTAAAACCTCTAATTATAAACCCGTTGTTAAGATCAGGGTTTTGTACGTAAGAAAAAATTTTGCTTATTTACTTTTATCGAAGGAAGCAAAGAGAGTTGAACAATGGTGGTGAAATAGCTTTTAGAGAACTATCAACAGAAATGTCCGACAAAACAAAAACATTTCAGATGGAATGGCGTTAGATGATAAAAGAAACAAATATAAGAAATGGAACATTGCTGGCATCCCACACCGTTATATTATTCGCTACTAGTTTAAATTTTAAAATAATGTTTTCCAACCGTCAAGAAAAAAAAAATTATTATTCATTTGTTGTAAAGCTAATTTGTCTCATCTCTTGGGTAAAATGAATCAATGAAGTTAAAGACATCAACTGCAAATTTTTATCTCTTGTAACTTTGCTGTTGACTGAATTTTGATTGGTTTACCTTAAATCTGAAAATATTTATTTTTAATTTTTGTATTCTCGTTGTACTGTTGTATTTGTCACTTCAAGTTCACTTCTGTGTAGGCTCTCCCTATTTTTACTTTTTAAAATAATTTTGATTTTCTTTTGAAGTGTTTCTTTTCTATTTTTAGTTACTTTTTGTGTGTTTCTTTCGGACTTTCAATAAATTTCATATAAGTTAACACATTAAATGAACGGGACGAACTCTGTCTTGA